ACACACACACACACACACACACACACACACACACACACACTAGACTAGACTAGACTGTGTTTGTTAATGAGATCAATTGTCTAAGAAAAGCTGCTCTGCGGAAACTGTGATGCTCATGACCGGTATCGTTGGTAAAAATGCAAGAAGTAATGCACTAATAAATGAATAAACATAGTTTGTATTTCTACTGGCAACAGTATAAAGACATATGAATGGCATATGGCCTGTGCTCCGCCAGCCCATGTCATCACTGTACAGGGACCGTTTCCCAAGCAATCAAATCAGGCAATTTAACCAAGAGATGCCACGTATCTCCCAAAATATCTCCATTATCAGAACTGCTGCGGAACCTTGATGACTAGGCAGTGCTGCTTCACACAAACGATCATTATGTTCACTGGAAAAAAATGACATACTTGAACATTTAACCCCCCCCCTGTGTCTGAAAGATTAATGAAATTGCACCAAAGTGTGTGTCCAAGTTTGTGAAGGTCCATGTGCAAACGTTTGTGCATGTTTGTGCCCTAAATGTGCAGCGTGGTGCCTGCAGGGCCCGGCCCTATAATCTGTTAAACGGGGCACCGTTCACCGATTGGCCTCGGTCGCTCACTATACACGTGCACGTCCCGGCACAAGCAGCGCTCGTCTAATCTCCTCGCTGTCATTAGAGAAGGCAGCAATCTGCTGAAACGCTGCCGTGCTTTCGCTACCTATCCGCTCTCACAGACCAATCGACTAGAAGCTCCCGTAGCTCAATCCTCTCCCAGCTCATCACATTACACACAGAACAAACATTCATTAGTACAACTCACTGCTGTGAGCTTCCTACATTATGCGTAACGAGAGAATCTCAACGTGACTCCAGCCTAATGCTCGTCCGAAAAATCTGCATTGCACCACTTGATGCTGCCAGATTAATCATGTGAAAATCTCCACTCCTGACTATTGCACTGCTTCCTATCTGGCCTGCAGGAATACTCACTTGAGCCAATGTAACTAATGCAGCACCCAAATGTGTGCCTGCTGCCCCCCCCCTTTCAACTAATGCGCTCCAGCTTAAGGCTGAGTGAACAGACACAATAACACCTTCAGGCCGTGGTCCAGCCAACCTCTGCATGTTACCTCAACTGCTTCATCCATCAGTCCGCTGTCTGACCTCGCCTCGGTCCTGCCGGCTCCCCAGCGGTGCAATTATCTCCCCATTCCAGTCGATAAAGAGGCACTGCCCATCTTCTATTGTAAACTCAAATGTCATTCTCTCAAAAATAAAAATCTCTCTCTTCCCGGACTATTTCTCTGCTGTTGTCCCAAGACTAGTGCTTACAGCACTTGGCACAAACATGACTCACAGAGGGAAATGACGTCATTACTTTGGTCGCTGTGCGAAGACAAAAAAGGGCATTTACAATGCTTTTCCACTCTTCTTCGCTGGTGTTATCAAGCATTGCCTAAACACCGTTTAAATCTGCCCCCCAAGTGTCCTGCAGCTTCAATGAGAGGATGGAACATTCAACACAACAGAGGTTTATGTTCAGATACCCGTTCTGATCATAAATAGCAAATACTCACTCGCGGTATAGTCATTTACTTAACACATGTGTTTTTATGTTTTATTATCATTCAGCTACCTGCATTGGGATTTATATATTAATATATTAAGGTTTATATACACCACTAAAATGTGGCATGCTTTGTACCTCCATCCCCAGCAACGGTAATTCAACAAGAGAAGAAGAGAAAATGTTTTTATTTGTATTTTTAAAACACAACTACATGAAGCTGTTCATTAAACCCATTCTATAACTATGGTCTGAGCCTAAAGCAGCGTCACTAAAGAAGCTTTAACATATCGGTCCACCTTAAGTGAATAGGCCGATTGAGTGAATGAGCCAATAAGATAGACGGGCTCAACGCCATCGGGAATCCGGGACACTGGTTGAAGACGGTACCGGGATCAAAAAGAGTAAGTGTAATGTTAAAGGTAGAGGATATGATGACTCGAGGGTGTGGGTGAGGAAACTTAAAGAAATGGAAAAAGCAGGACCAGAATTGAAAAGTAGAAAACATCGAGAAAGAGAGAGGATATATGTCCTGAGCAGCAGTGAAGACACTGAGTCAGAGGCAGCTGTATCAACACATTAACACAATGACTGGCAGTGGGTGAGAGAGCTACTGGAAGTAGCGCAGCACATCACTTTTTCCACTTTCAACCACTGATTAATGGCTTTATTGTTTGGTCACCACAGCTTCAGGGCTGACGGACTACAAGATTTCAGCTCAACTTGTGTTTGGTCGTGATGCTCAGCTGCCAAAACCACCCTCACTGATAGACGCATCATCAAAACTGAAGCACTTTAAGCACAAGGATCTATGTGGGGCCACCTTTGATTTGGAGTTTAATTGGGTCCAAATATTGCAGCGGTTCCTTCAAAATATGACATATTAATATAAGTACCTGTACGGTTACACCCACTGAAAAAAACCCTACTTTTGAGAATCCCAAAACCCTCAAAGATAGTTTCTTCTTTGTGGTCTTTACTTTATTAGTTCATATAAAGCAACATGAGAGAAAGAGTAGCAGATTGGTGTGCATCTTCTGAGTCGTCATAACGCACCGACCGCAACACATTCTGATTGACTGACAGCTCAGCCCAGCAATAAGGAGCAACGTCTGCATGCACGTCACTGACCTGCAAAGCCTCCAAGAAGCGGAAGGAACCCAGCCGCCGTCCTCGAGGTACCAGACAGAACGTGGAGTTGTACAGCATCTCTCTGTAGTCATACCTGTAGGACGACAGCAATGAAGACAAGGCATCAGGAACAGAGAATGTGTACTCACATGTACAGTGTACTAAAAGCAGCAGAGGAGAGAACAGAGAAGGCACCTCGAACCACGGAATACCTGGAAAGCGACGAGAGTACTTTCAGGAAAAAAAAAAAATCTCAACTTTGATCTCGACTCCTCTCGTCTTCCCTCCTCCCCCGTGAACCCCCTCGCCCTCTCACCTGCACATCTCAACAGCTCTCCCTCCGTCCAATCTAAGCCTCAGTCAGCACTAGCTTGGATTAAGGAGCTGCTTGGAATTCCTTCGGTGTTAATATTACATGTGTGCATGCGAGAGTGGATCTCTGTGTTGCCTGGGGTGGGTTTCATTGGAGAGGACGGAAAGTTTGCACATTCTATTTCTCAGTTCGTTACTTGACACTTTTCAATGCTATGCCTCATGTGCATTGATCTGAAACACATTCTAATGAAAAATGTATCCCAAAAAGGTGGCTGGCAAGTATATACTTCTGTATAAATGTGTGTTTTTTGTTTTTTTCCCCAATTGCCAAGTCATTAATGGAGCAATAAAGAGAAGCTTCATCTAAACCCCAATATTTTAGAGACTGCTGCAGACACTCAAGGCAGCAAACTAAATGTATACTGGTGTAAAAGGAATATACACAAAGACACAAGACGGAGTTGATTCCCAGGTCGCCTTTTTTGAGCCATCTTAAAAATTCCAATACATCCAACTACAGACCCGTCGTTCTTTACCACACGCTGTCATGTTCCGTATTGAAATCTGCTGGGTTTAGGTTTTGATAATGAGTGTTTACCAAATGTCGAGCAAAGGATTTTTGAATTCTTGAAATGTGACATCTAAAGTTTCTCCTGGTGTATAAGCATCTTTTCATTTGCTCTACTTCTCTGCATGGCCTTGAGAGCACATGATGGAGTTTTGTTAGGCTACATTAACCGTAACGCACAAATTACCAAACACAAAGTCGTGTTCTCTTGTTGTTCTACAGTTTATGGGGGTCGCAAATGAGTGTAAAAATATCAACTGCAATGTTAAATCAACGTCTGGTGATTATGCAATATTTATATCCATATAATCCCGCTTTAGACTACACATTTACAGTTAACAGCCACCACGGTGAGTTTTGAGAAGATCAACAGACAAAAAAAAAAAAAAAGCATAAAATCTACAATTAAGCTTGATGCCATCTATAGCAATAAACTGCAATGCATCAGAAATCCATTATCCACGAGCACATATTAGCCGGCTAAAGTAAAGAACACTAAAGGCCGGGCCGCCTCACAGATGCTCCTCTGATCTGTGCGTCCATTATGAAACAACAATGTGATTCACCAGTTTGACTCCATCACAGCTACGTGACAGGCTATCATTTAGCATAACAAACAAATAATCCAGCCAGAGGCACAGAACAACTGACCCCCTTTTTCCCCCAGGCCTATTAAAACTAAAGTATAGGTCCATATCTGGGCCCTGGCTGGCCGTAAATCTCCCATCCATCCCATTTCCTGTCAGTGCAAACTGTCAGAAGAGACCAGATGTTCCTCTCCCTGCATACCTCCATTCTCCTCTCGTCTTCCAGATGGCTGCCTGTGGGGAGGAGCAGCCTCCCCGGTATGCTACCGCATGTCATTGGAGACGTTAAGGATGAGCGTTCAAAAATATCAGCTCCCGTCTCGGGGGTGCATTTTTCTGTTGTTTTTTTGCCTGTGCATGTGTGGTAGATGTTCCACAGATTGGTCTCATTAGCAAAAAGAAGGATAGATCTCAGTGAGGAGGAGTTAGTCACACCCTGCATGTCACAGCGATGTCAGTGATCAGCTCTACATGATACGAGGTAAATCCATGCTCGTCCCAGATTCCCCCCCAACACGCAGATGGCTGCTGGTGAGCAGAGCAGTCTCATAGCAGCAGATTCCTCATCACCGAGTAATCACACCTTCCTATTGTGATACAGTGCAAAAATAATTGAATAAACGCTGTAATAAAGCTTACTAAAATTAATTATTGATATTATCAATACCGCAGGACTAATATGGAGATACACTACTGTTCAACAACAGGCTCTGCACCATCATTATCTAATGTAGCATCATAATTGCCCTTGAAAAAATTATTTTCATGCGCATTGTGAAGAAAATGTCACCATATAATGTAAAAAAAACAAAAACACTTATTTGAAACAGCACAGGTATCCCCCAAGCATACCAAAATCTATTTAAAGGAGTCATCTTGATCATCCTAAAGTGAGATTATGTAAATAATTAAAGCAAGCTGTAAAACAGTGTGTACCACTGTAGAGCTGTGCACAGGAGAGGAGTTAACCTCAACCAACTGTTCGGTGTGAGCACTCTATGGGTATGTTTCTTGACCACGCAGTCGCGCCTGGTTAGAAACTACCATCATGTAGGGATGATAGATCTTTTACATGAACACTGAATGTGTTTGTGAGGGAGAGAGAGAGAGAGAAAGACATGGAGACAAGTAGAGTTGGGTCCACTTCTGGTTTTTGCCGTTCCGGTCCCAGTGTGTAAGCTTAAAGGAATACCTCACGCACCAAATGACCATTTTGTTTTTAAATATCAATCAATAAAAATGGGCAAAAACTGATGAAATCCTTCGTGAACTCAAGTAAATTGAGGCCAAATTTAACAACAGCAAAATTATAAACATCTGTTGACTTCACCACCACATCTCGTATCAATAATCAAACTGTCTATTCTGGGACATATATACACATAACGGTAGAATAGTAAACATCACCTTTTGTTTGAAATGCTGTGGGAGATGTACCGTTATGCTTTCTCCTATTAATTCAAGGATCATTCAATAATTGTCGCATAAAAAGGAACTCGGTGTGATTCACTGAAAGAGAAAACGGGATAACAGGAAGAGAGCTGGGTCAAAAACAAGATCAACCAGTCTCCTAGCAACAAGAATGGATGGTGTGAAAAATAAATGCATGTCTCACTCCGTCAAGAGCCCGAAGAGACTCAGAAGAACAGCCCAAGTGTTTGTCTCTCATCATCTGTGTGGATCACACACACATTCACAACAACTCAATCCCCCCGAACCGGCTCCTTCTTCTACATAAGTGAGATGAACTGTGTATCAAAATATATGGTATCAGATACCAGATCGGACGATGGTCCCAAACACCCGATCCAGCTATTTGAGTCTGTGCATCTCTCCTTGGTAGTTATTGTAATACAGTAAGCTGGACTAATTAATTAGAAAAGTGCAAATAAACGGTCATAGATACAGTCAGTCATCAACAGTTTAACCTCTTGTGCCTTCATCTGTACCATGGTGCACAACGTGTCCAAAGAGGGGCCTCAGTAGTGTAGTTGAATTAAACACAATGCTTAGAAATGTTCCTTTGAATAATCCAAAATGACTTCCAGACAGAGAATATGCCAAAGCCTGGATTCTTGTAAATCTACTGCCTCCAGTTCATTGTGCAGCCATCACTCATCTTGGTCACAGGAAGAATCCTCAACGACTGGGAATACCCAAAGACGAACTTCAGAGGGGGGAAAATGAAGATGGCAACTCTAATACCATCTCGGCTCCCTCACCCGTAAAGACATCTCATCTCATTTTCCGCTTCCTCTTCTCTGTCACGTTTCAGCCGAGCTGACGTTGCCAGGACTGTGAGTTGAAGCCAGAGGAATTCCAGCCTGAAAGGCACCGAGTGAAAGTGACTGTCGTCGGATGAGAAAGGAAAAGATAAAAAAATAATAAAAAATAAAAAAAACAGCGGTTGACAATCGCCTGCTATATCCGAGCCCCACACAGCCAGAGCCACACACACACACATAAAGCCTCAGTTTGATCTCGACACACATCAGAGTGACTTGAATAGCTCGAGACGCTGCCGGACCCTCTCAGACTGGCCGGCTTTCTTTCCCCCTGACAGGACGGCGCACCGAGAGGTGGACATGTGCGACACATGGTGACAGGCCCAAAGGAGGGAGAGCTAGACGAGCATCAAATGGAAACAAATAAACCTCACGTTCCGCAAGACTTGCATTAGACCTCGTATGCAAAATTCATAGATAAGTAGTGGTTTGAGGCCTCAAGTTCTGCATTTTGGCCAGCGCCATTATGGGTTTTGGCTGTCGTCAGCTTGTTTTCTTTTTGCAGCCAGTGAACAGAAGAGGCCATATTTGGACTGCGGACGAATGACGCAGAGACACTGTGGTAGCGACCTGTCAATCACAAGAAACCCCGCCCTAAAGCTCACTCTGCCTTATGGTCTATTTGACTCTCAATGGGACCATAATTTACTAAATCAACATCATGCTGTATTGAAGAAGACTTGAAAGGACTTTCATACAATCAGACTTATTTTTTGCAACCAGAGGAGTCGCCCCCTGATGGCCAGTAGAGAGAATGCAAGTTTAAGGGATTTCTGCATTTGGCTTCACTTTTCAGAACCGGAGGTTGCCGCCTCGTAAAGATCAACACTCACACGCCGTGTTTTCATCATCACATGGCTGTTTTGATCTCCAGGAGGCGATCAAACGGCTGCTGGAGATGTGGGGTTGATGAGCAGCACGCACACTCGTGTTCCACGGGGTTCATTAGTCATCAAGATGAATATCAGAAAGCAGACTGGTATTAAAAGAGTGCATCGGGCCTCTGAGAAAAGAGATCCCTGAGGATTGTGGGCACATTAGACGTCAGCAGCGGTTTTATGGGATCTGGTACACTCAACAAAAGCAAGAAGCCCCCCCCCCCCAGAGAATATTAGATTTTTCTCTGTGTGTGAATTAAAATTTCACTGTGATACCTATTCCAGCAATGCAATACAGTTAACAAGTTAACTTTAAGAGAGAGGACACACAATTTAGTGGACAGAATAACTACGAGGAGTGTGACACTTACTTGCCTAAAGTTATGGAGCTTAAAATACTCCACTGGCCTCGGGACGGGAGCACTGTATGAATGAGATTCACTGCAGGAGCTTGTACTTTA